TGTCCTGCGAGCGAACTTGAGTTACTAGGTACAGTACATCAGATTATCTTTCTCTTGAAGTAATTTTCTTAAACAATACAATTTCTCTTGTTTTAAACAGAACACAAGATTACATCAATCTTCAAGACAAAGTAATGTCAACAATGAATCAAATAAAAATTACGAAGTAAGAAATTTATTTTCTAAAAAGTAATTCATAAATAATACAATAATTTTGATATGAATTTTATTATTGAATAAAATTAATTTTATAATAAAACTTGATTATCAATTTGATAGTTCTTTGGATGAAAAAATATTTTTTCTATTCAAATAGAAACCATTCTAAAGAAGTTAATTCAAAAAAATCAGGCGAATTGTTGTTGCTGTTGAAAAACACACCGCAGCACCCAAGCCTGTTATTTTATTAAAATGAACGTTGCAAAAACTTATTGTAAAAATTTTCATTCTTTTGTAATGTATAGTAGCTCGCTTAAATTTTCATTCATTATACATTTTTCTTTTCATGTTCTTTTCATAATCTTTTCATAATCTTTTCATAATCTTTTAATGTATTAATGAAAAAATGAAAAATTTTTAATCATTTTTACAATTTTATTGTTTGTCTATTTATACTTATTTTCTTTAGAAGTACAACTTTTCAAAATTCTATGGAATAATGTTTTACAAGAGATTGGCACATGATCCTGGAGAATGCGTTGATATTTAATACGAATAAATCACCCATCAACTGACCCTTTAGGTTGTTATACACGTAATACAACCTTCATTATAGGTACTCTAGCTGGTCTTACGAATATAAGTTTAATGGATCCAGGTTATTTTATAATTTATTGTGCTTATTATCTTTTTAGATATACAGCATTAATAGGTGGAAATATGTGTAGATGTGGTAATGATACTGGTTTAGATGCTTACATTAAATTAATTGATGATAATTCAATTAATACAACTTGTAATATCAAATACGTCGGTAATTCAAGTTATTTATGTGGTGGGAAAGATGGCTATAGAGTTTATGATACACTAACTGCTATTTCAAGTTATAGAGTACCTAATGTAACTCGCAGTTAAAAACTTGAAATAATTAAAGACCTTCACCTTAATAAATATGCTAGATATAAAGGATGTTATAAGGAATGTCCTTATTGTAATAAAAGATTTTTAAATGATAAATCAAAGGAAACTTCCGGAATGACAGTTTAAAATTTTGTGAAGAGAAAAAATATAAGTATGCGGGATTCGAGGTATTGATGACAGATTTTTTAATAAGCATTTAAAAACATGAAATGAAATCCAAATTTAACTATTCAAATTTTAATCATTGCCTGTTTCAATTGTGAAAATGTATCTAAATAATCGCGAATGAGTCTTTAAATCTTTTTATTATCATTCTTAAATAGGACCAGCGTTTTTGCGATAATGATTATAGAAGCCTTAACCAGACTTTTAATAGAAGATTGTAGTTCTAGCTTCGAAGGTGATAATTCACAAATATGTGGAGTCCTTTAGCCCTTAGTATATATAATGCTTCGGATTTTCAGTCAATACATCTCCTTCAGGTGATCATCCTTCAGGTGATCATTCGGGTGGTCTTTCAATTGGTCTTATAATTGGTATTGTTGTTGGTTTTGGTGTTTCTGGCGTTGTTGGTGGCATTGTTATAATAGTAATACGTAACTTGCATTAAACAAAATCTCGCTGATCTGCAGAAATTCACATGCTAATTGGGTGTAAATAAAAATTTTACCCCAAAAATTAAATGTGGCTCTCCTAAGTGAAAATATTAAAACATATAGTAAATCAATGACATTAATAAAGTTTTTTTTAAGAGAATAAAAACTGACAGTATGCAATAAAGTTATATATAGATGTTTCTGGATTCTTGGGTTAAATAATTTACAAAATTTAAAATTCTCTGTCTTATAATTTAATTAATAAATATTGTTGCTTTTTAGTGACCTAGTTAGTCAACTTTCCAATTATTTATACATATTTCGATTTAAATATTTGTGCTTGTTTAAATTGGCTGTGATTGGTGAATTCGAAGTTTCCAGTGGTAATTTTTGTGAACCAAGAATTACACATAAAGCTTAAGAGCATTGTCAGTAAGAAATAAATGTATAAGGAAATATGGAAGTTATAGAAGAAGATTTATATGTTTATGCTGCTGACGTTTCTCAAGTTGACATTAATTCTGCGGTTAAAAAAAAAATTTCTAGTTTGAATAATTCTCAAACTACACCTGAAGTATATAGATCTGTTCGATCAAAACTCTTAACTGCACATCAAAATGCAAATGAAAAATCATCCGATATGTCTTTAGTTGAACCGGGTAAACATTTCATTGATTTAACTGATAATTCTCATCATTCGAAGCGTACAAGAGTACAAGATCTAAAAAATAAAGATGATTGTGTTACGAATGTTGATCCAAATTACGGTTATTGTGAGCAAACGATTGAATATGATAGAGAATATGTAAATGACAACAGTGAATGCGATAGTACCGTTAATGAAAACGAAAAAATAGTGCTTAGCCATAAGAATATGAATAAAGGCAAAGAGAAGATAACACAATCTGTAACGCATAATACTAGAAGTCGAACCGAAAGGTTTAAAAATGTAAATGAAGAATAATTTCATAAATTTAGCTTA